CCGCTATCCGGCAGAGTGACGCTAGGCACGGCGCGTCTAGGATGCGTCGCTTGCGGGCTCGGGATGTTCTACGCCGTGAGGAGGGGCCGGAAGACCGGCGTCTTCTTCACCTGGTGAGTGGCGGTGCTCAGGGACCTCGGGGGCCGGGGGAGTCCTGGGTCGCTCCGCAGGAATCTGATCCCAAATCCTTGGGGCGTCTGTTAATCCTGAGGCTGTGAGACTTCCGAGAGGGAAGGCAGAATCACTGCCAACCAGAGTGTATGAAAGGATTTCCGTGATCTGATCTCCCCCGTGGGTTTTTGTTGTGTTTTGTTTTTGAAACAGCGTCCGGAGTAGTTTGACGCTCATCCAGCTCCCCAACGCCGGCGTCAAAGGTGCGTGCCCCGACGCCCGGCCTCCTAGGCGTTCTCGCAGGCACATTTTATTTTAGTATGCTCTAGGTCCGTGGAAGACTTTGTGCTGTCAATGTGCTGTCTGGCGCATGGCAGGATGGGCTGTCAGGAACTTGTAAGATAAAACTAAACAGTGACATGTGACCTTCATCCTGAGGCACCGACACAGCAGATCCGTTTTCATACCATTCCCAGCCTAATAACCAGTTAAAGAGGAGGTTAAATGTAAGATGCAAAACTGTAAAACTGACTAGAAAGCAAGTGAATTCTCGATGAACTTGGGTTTGATAGTGACTTCAGATACAACACCAAAGGCATGATCCATGAAATGTAATTGATAAGATAAACGTCATTAAATTAAAAACTTCTGCTCTGAAAAAATACTGTCAATATAAGGGACAAGGTAAGCCAGAGATTAGGAGAATATATTTGTAGTTATAAAAGATGTCTTGCAAAATATACAAAGAAAATTTTTCAAATTTGTTTTTTGAGACAAGAACTCACTGTGCAGACCAGGCTGGCCTTAAACTCAGACATCCAGCTTCCTCTGCTTCCTGCCTGCCTTCAAAGGCTTGGACTGCCACCACCACCTATTCTGGGCCACGAAGAATTCTTACAGTTGAGCAACTCCATTGAAAAGTGGGTAAAAGACCTACACAGATACCACACCAAGAAAGATACAGGTGGTAAACAAGCATATAAAGATGCTCCATGTCATACATTGTCAGGGACTTAAAAAATAGCAGCTGGATACTGTAGCACACCCATTGCAGTGGCCCAAAACCACAAACCTTGAGACTAAAACTGCAAATAAAGAAATGTCCCATATCATAAGCCATCAAGGGAATTAAAATAGCAATGAGAAGGGCTGGAGAGGCAGCTCAGTGGTTAAGAGCACTGACTGCTCTTACAGAGGACCTGGGTTTGATTGCCAGCATATTCATGGTGGCTAACAACCATCTGTTACTCCAGTTCCAGGGGATCCAACACCACCTTCTGACCTCCTTGAGCACTGCACGACATGGGTGCACTTAACACACATGCAGGCAATACACTCATACACATAAACTGTTAAAAAAAAAAAAACAGCAACGAGAGGCTATAGCACACCTACAAAACAGGCTGTGGAACAACAGGAAGTCTCTTTTTGCTGGGTTGAAGGCAGAATGGTACAACCACTGTAAGAGACAGTTAAGCAGTCGCTTAGAAATAAACATGCTCAGCTGGGGGTGGTAGCACATCCTTTAATCCCAGCACTGGGGAGGCAGAGACAGGCAGATCTCTGTGAGATCCAGGCCAGCCTGGTCTACATTAGCGAGTTCCTGGCCAGCTGAGACTACAGGAAGACCCTGTCTGAAAAAGAACCCCCTCAAAAAAATAAATAAACATGCTCTTCTGTTCTGACCTTGTAATCACAGTCTTTATACTAAATAAATTGAAAACTGCCTCCTCCCCAACCTGCACATAACTGTTTATGGAAGTTTTGTTGATAATTACCAGATTTTGGAAGCCATCAAGTTTCTAGTAGGTGATAATTTAATAAACTATAATAACCCAGACAATGGAATATTCAGAACTAAAATCTGGTAAGCTATCAAAGATGAAACAAGAAGAACATTAAAATTGTACTATGCTAATAGAAAGAAACCAATTTGAAAAGAATCTGTAGTTTATAATTTCAGTTATAAGATATTCTGGGGAAAAAAAAATGAGATTGCCAAACAAGCCAGTCGGGTTGGTACCAAGGGAAGGCTGAGTATGAGCAGAAGATTTTTGGTTTATTTGTTTGTATCTTGGGCTCACCTGGAATTGACTGTATAACAAGGATGACCTTGAACTTCTGATCCTCTGCTTCCACCTCCGAAGTATTGGGATGACAGGTGTGTTCTACCACACCAAAGTTTTTTGGGTTTTCCCTGAGATAGGATTTCTGTGCAATCCTGGCTGGCCTGGAACCCGTAGATTAGGCTGGTCTTGAACTTGTGGCAGTCCTCCTGCCTCTGAGTGAGCGTGGGATTATAGGCATGTACCCCCGACACTTGACCTTGAGCAAGGGATTTCTAACACATGAGACTGTTCTGGATGGTGTGGTAATATGCAGGCATGTCATTGTCATTATGTTTGTTGACACTTATAGAACTTAGAACACTGAGTTACACTGTAAACAGTGGACTCTGGGTTGGTGCACCACTGTGATTGTGGGTCACTAAGGAAACTCTTCTCTGTTCCTATGTGATGTGAACCTAAAAATGTTCAGAAAAAAATGACACTGGTAAACAGTAGATGAATGAAAATAGTAAAAATAAAATTAACTAAACTTAAAAAATAACCCCTGTATGTCTATTTATGTCTGATGCTCTGTGCTGTTCGGGAATTGTTTTATGTCTAGTTGTCATGCAGAAAAGGTAGTGACTGAGCTGGTGTGGGCACAGAAAGGTAAATATGTAAACAAATAAATAAATACACATGAAAAGAATATAAGTTGCAGAGAAGGGAAGGGAGGCCTGAACTGAAATGCATGTTTTTCCAGGAGTGAGTGCAGAGCGCAAGTGGACCGCTTTCCTGCTGCCAGATTTAAGAAATTTGCTACAGAAGATGAGGCCTGGGCCTTTGTCAGGGGCTCTGCAAGCCCAGATGTTTCCAAAGGTATGTCCCTCATATCAGCATGATGGTTTGACCTGCACAAAGCCTTTCACATCCCGGTGTCACCGCATCTGCATACATAGTGGAATGCTGTAATTGTACCCATGTTCCCCTGTACAGATTAGAGTGAAGAATAGTAGCTCAGCCAGGTGTGCAGCACATGCATGCATAAGACTAACCTGAACTATATAGCCAGTTTCAGACCTGGGCTACATAACAGGACCCTGTCTCAAGAACAGACAACAAAAATGAAGTGTTACGCACAGCGTGATGGTGCATGCCTTTAATCCCAGCACTCTTGAAGCAGAGGCAGCTGGATCTCTGTGAGTTCAAGGACAGCCTGTTCTACATAGTGAGTTCCAGGCCAGCTGGGGCTACAGGGGGACCCTGTCTCAGAAAGACCAAATAAGCTATGGTTTTATTTTTTCTTTTATATTTTTGAGATAGGGTTATACTATATAACTCAGGTTGGCCTCAAACTTGACTCCTCTTCATCAACCTTTTGAATGCTGGGATCACAGGCATTTGTCACTATGCCCAGCGAGGCTGTGCTTTTAGGAGAGGGTGGCTCTTTTCTTTGTGCACCCATGTGGTTGCCTTTGCATTTGGATAGAGTCGCACAATTCAAGTTTCTTTTAATTTCATGTGTTTCAGAAAGTACTGGATATTGAAGGCCTACCATAAGGGACATCAGATTTATAAGACTCACACATAGGATTAAGATAAGCTAACGGACTCTGAGTTAGAACACAGGGACTTAAAACTATCTAGACCTACCTTGGCAAGTGGGTTTTGAAGAACTTTTTTTCCTTCCTTCTTTCCTTCCTTCCTTCCTTCCTTCCTTCCTTCCTTCCTTCCTTCCTTCCTTCCCTCCTTCCCTCTCTCCCTACCTCCCTCCCTCCCTCCTTCCTTCCCTTCCTCCCTCCCTTCTTCCCTCTTTCCCTTCATTTTCAGGGTCTCATGTAGCATAGGCTAGCTTGAAATTATCTATGTAGCTGAGGATCACACTGAATTTCTGATCCTCCCACCTCTACCTCCCAAGTACTGGGATTACAGGTGTGTGCCACCTCACCTGGCTTATGCAGTGCTCTGAATCAAACCCAGGGCTTTGTGCTTGTTGGGCAAGCACTGCACCAACTGACTCACACCCCCAGCCCTATAAGCGCTTGTTTACAGAATTTTTCTTTTTTTTTTTTTGTCTTTTTGAGACAGGGTCTCCTTGTAGCCCCAGCTGTCCTGGAACTCACTATGTAGACCAGGCTGGCCTCAAACTCACAAAGATCCGCCTGCCTCTGCCTCCCAAGTGCTGGGATTAAAGGCGTGCGTCACCACGCCCAGCCCACAGAATTTTTTAAACAGGATTAAGACGCAGCAGAATCTAGTCTTAATCTTCATCTCTTGCAACTTCTCTTCAGCCCCTGAGATACTCAAATATTGACCAGTTGCTCCTTTGGGACACTATAACAATGCTAGACAGGAGTTAGAGAGATGGCTCAGTGGTTTAGAGCACTGGCTGCTCTTGCAGAGGACCTGGGTTTGGTTCCCAGCTCACAGCCATCTGTAACTCCAGTTCCAGGGGTTCCCACACCATCTTCTGGACTTCTCAGGCACCGGGCACACATGTGGTACACATTAATACATGCAGGCAAACACTCGTACACATAAAATAAAAATAAATAAATCTTGAGGCTGGAGAGATGGCTCAGCAGTTAAGATCGCTGGCTGTTCCTCAGAGGACCAGGGTTTGGTTCCCAGCGTTCATATGGAATCTACTAACTGTTCTTAACTCCAGTTTCAGGGGATCTGATGCCCTCTTTTGACCTTGGTGGGCATTGCACGACACAAGTGTACTTATATACATGCAGGGAATACACTTATACATATAAAATAAAAATAACAAATTTTTAAGAATTTATTTTATCTTACGTGTGAGTATTATGCCTGCATGTAAGTAAGTGCACCCTTGTCATTCTGTGCCCACGGAGGACAGAAGAGGGTGTCAGATCCCCTGGAACTAGAGTATGATTGTTGTTAGCCACCATATGGGTGCTGGTATTCAAACCTGGTCTTCTGCAATAACAGCCAGTGCTCTTAATGGCTGAGCCATCTTTCCAACCCCATAAAATATTTTTTTAAGACCAAAAAGAAAAGAAACTTTAAAACAAAGAAACAAAAAACCCCACTAACACTGGTTGGAGCAGGATTCAGAGAGGGACAGGTTGTTTTCAGAGTCAATATTTCCTAAGGGCAACTTTAAGCAAGAAGAACCTTTTGTTTGTCTGTTTGTGACAGAATCTCATTCTGTAACCCAAGCTAGTTTAGGATTCACTCTGTAACCCAGGCTGGTCTCAAACTTTGGCGAATCCTCCTGCCCTGCCTTAGTATTCTTAAGATGACAGATATGAGCCACCATATAGCACATCCTGCAACCCTTACGGTGCTATATAGATATAGTATGTGTGTGTGTGTATGTGTGTGTGTATACATGCCATAGCACACATGTGAGAGATCAGAGGACAACTTTTGGGGAGACAGTTCATTTTTTCCAACATGGGCTTGGGGCATTGAACTCAGTTTGTCAGGTTTGTATGGGAAGTGCTTTTACCTGTTGAGTCATCTTATTGGCCTTTTTATTTTTTGTTTTTTAATTTTTTATATTTTGGTCTTTTTGAGACAGGGTCTCTTGTAGCCCCAGCTGGCCTGGAACTCAACTGTGTACACCAGGCTGGCCTTGAGCTGACAGAGATCCACCTGCCTCTGCCTCCTGAGTGCTGGGATCAAAGGTGTGCACTAACATGCCCAGCCTTATTTATTTATTTATTTATTTATTTATTTAATACGTATGAGTGTATTGCCTGCATGTATATAAGTGTACCCATGTCATACAGTGCCTGCGGAGGTCAGAAGAAGGTGTCAGATCCCCTGGAACTGGAGTTACAGACAGTTGTTAGCCGCCATGTGGGTGCTAGGAATCGAACCTTGGTCCTCTGCAAGAGCGGTTAGTGCCCTTAACCGCTGAGCCATTTCTCCAGCCCCCTTTTTATTTTTTTTTTTTAAACAGGAATGTGAACTTCATATTGCCCAGGCTTGTCTTGGACAGTGTAGAACTTTGCAAGACAGCAAAGTCTAAGATGGTTTGTTGTAAGTCGTTCCCTCTTTATAGGGCCACATACAGAGGGATATTCAAATCTGATGTATATTATGAAATAGCTTTTCCACAATTCTTGAGTTTTCAACATTTCATGGACTCTGGTTTTGGCTCATAGTTAGAACTTATCTTTCAGGGCAGGAAAATGCACAGGTAGAGAAATCACAGGTGAAGACCAGCAAGCGGGCAAGGGAGCCTTTGGGTGAAGGTGAAGATGAAGACCATGGAGAGCCGTGGGCAAAGCACACAAGACAGAACATGGAGCTAGCTGCTCCACTGAGCAAGGACACGTTTTCTTACATGGGTATGTCTTTCTTGGGTTTTAAATTTTTAATATAACTACTACAAAAATATATTAGCATAAAAACTTTTCCTTTCCAAATGAAATTTGAGATAATCTTTGTCCTTATTTTTTGTAAACTTTTTTTTTTTTTTAATATTTTTTTATGTGTATGGGCAAATTGCCTGTGTGTATGCAAGTGCTCCTGTGTCGTGCAGTTCCCGTAGAGTTCAGAAGAAGGCATCAGATTCCCTGGAACTGGAGTTGGGACTATTGTTAGCACCTTTAATCCAGCACTCCAGAGACAGAGGCAGGCGGATTTCTGTGAGTTCTACATAGTGAGTCTAATGAGTCCCAGGCCCAAAAAAAAAAATGCCCTAAGATTTCATGCATGCTAGGCCAGTGCTGTCACTAAGCTATAATCCTAGCCCTCTTTTTACTTCTTGTTTTGAGTCAGAATCTCACTAAGTTGCCAGGGTGGCGTTGAGCTCTCCAAAGTCCAGGCTGGCCTTGAATTTGTAATCTTTCTGCCTTAGCCTCCCAGTCATTTTTTTTCCCCAAGAAGAAACCACTTATACTTTAACTGAAGGGAAAATGCAGAGCTGTACCTATAGATTGGATTGGCAGCTATCTAAAATGAATAAGTATCCTTGGTAACAGTAGGGATGAGCCACATCCAGTACACCAGCTGAGGCTCCCTAAACAGTGACGGGTGTCGTCATGACTGGAAGGAAGGTTTAATAGTTTAGGTGGAAACCAAGTTGCAGCTGATGGAGTCCTGCCTAGCCTCTGTGCTTTCATGTCCCCAGTCTTGGCTCCTGTGAGGGATGCTGGTCCCCAGGCTCCTGCTGAGCCTGCTGTGCACAGGCTAGTGTTCTCTGAACATATGCCTTACGCACAGGTGTCTCTGCTCCCCTACCCCACCTCTGGCCTATTCTGCAGAACTTTTCCCATCACTCTAAAGTCACTGCTGGCCACAGGCCTGGCAATGGCCTCAGTTCCATCCTCCCCACTTGGTTCCTTATCGATTTGGTATATTGGACAAACCTTGTCTGAATAGAAGGAAGCAGAGATGAAAAGCACTTTACTAGTGGCAAATGTGCTAAGAGAAAATTGGGACCACTTGTCAGCAGACTTGAGCTGATATGTGGCCTCTTGCAAGCACTTTTCTAGAAGGACTGAGGAGTGAAAGTGACCCTGACGGAGGTATGTGTTGTTTTCTGATCCCTTTAATTTGTCGTGTAAACAGGTCTCACTGTGGCAGTTTTGGTTTTATGGAGTAACCACCCTCACCTTTAACTCATCTGGCAAAAACCACCCTCACCTTTAACTCATCAGCAAAAAGTGGCTGCACCCCACTGGAGAATCCATGTTGTCCTAGACAGGGAACTACAGCCTTGTAATTCACCCTTGGTTCAAATGCTGGCTCAGTCTCGGTGGTGCTGAGTGAGTCAATGTTTAGTAGTTGGTGCAGAGGCCTTACTCTTTCTTCTCATAGGAGAATCAGTTGTTGTCTACACCGATGGCTGCTGCTCCAGTAATGGGCGGAAGCGAGCACGAGCAGGAATTGGCGTTTACTGGGGCCCGGGCCACCCACTGTGAGTAAACAGAGCTGAGTGTGTGAGCATCACATTTTACCAAGTAATAGGTGGGATCTGCTTATTGGTGGATTCTTTTGGAAACCTGCCCAGATAAACAGTGACCCAAATAGAAAAGAGATTTTGATTTCTGCTAGTGCCTTACCATTTGGTTCCTGATGATGCCAAACACTGAATTTGAGTGTTGTTTCCCTGGGATGTAACTCTAGAAATCATGAGTCATATGGGCACAAGGAGCTGGCCTTCAGAGAGGTGGGGACGGCACCAGCTTAGACCCATTCCATCGCTAGACTTTCAACCATGCTCGACCCAGGGCATGTCAGGAAGCAGCTAAGCAGTGTGAAACTTGATTGTTCCGAGTATACCAGGTCCCTACAGATGAAATAACTGGAATGGGAGCAGACAGCCCTGTAATTACAGGATTGGCACTCAGCTCCTGTGAGGTTCTGCACAGACCTGATGTTTATCAGGAACTGTTGTCTGGCACAGTTACTATCAGTTCCCTAAAACCACTGTTCCTTTCTTTATTTTAAAAATATCCTTATTTTTCCATTTGAAAATTTTCCAAGCTTTTTTTTTCCTAATGTCTGTGTTTTTACAAAGCACATCGCAATGACTGGCTCATTATATGTCTACAGTGTTTGAATCAATTCAGGGTACTGAGTTGTTCGCTTGCTTGCTTGTTTGAGTGACAGGATCTCTCTGTGTAGCCCTGACTAGCCTTGAGCTCACAGAAATCTGCCTGCCTCTGCCTACATCTCCCAGTGCTGGGAATAAAGGTGTGCACTTACCCTAGAGTAATGACCTTTTCTGTCAAACACAGATCATTTTTATGTGCTGGGAATTTTATAATCTTACTGCCTTTTTTAATTTTATTTATTTTTATTTTATGTGTATGAGTATATTGCCTGCATGTAGGTAAGTACACCCGTGTTGTGCAATCCCCATGGAGGACAGAAGAGGCCATCAGATCCCCTAGAACTAGAGTTACAGACAGTTGTTAGCTGCCATGTGGGTGCTGGGACTCGAACCCAGGTCTTATGCAAGAACAAACGGTTTTTAACCATTGAGCCATCTCTCCAGCCCATCTTATTGTCATTTTTATTTTGTTTTGAGACAGGGTCTTGCTCTGGTAGCTTCCAGCTCATAGCAATCTTCCTGCCTCAGCCACTTGAGTGCTGAGATCATAGGCATAAGTTAACTTGCCAGGGTGATGAGATTAATTATGATATTTCTGTGCAAGTGTCATCATGTTTTGTTACTCATCCCCCCTCCCTTACTTTCATCGCCCCTCCCCCTACCCTGTGCTAGTCATCTTCTTTCTCCCAAAATAATCTGCCTTCATGTCCCAAGTACTCTGTTACAGTGCCCCTCCTGCTAAGGTTCTCTCCTTCCATCATGTGGGTCCTGGGGATAGAACTCAGGTTGTCATGCCTGGTGGCAAGAGCCTCTACCCACAGAGCCATCTCACCAGCTTAAGATTGATTTATTTGTGTGTGTGTGTGTGTGTGTGTGTGTGTGTGTGTGTGTGTGCGCGCGCGCTTGTTTGCATGAACCTTGAAGAGGATCCTTATGAGTGGTGCTGCAGCAAACATGGGCGTCAGTGTGTCTTTGTTAAAAGCTTTCCTCTCTGGGTATACCTAGTCCACTTTACATTTCTCTCTCTCTCTCTTTTTTTTTTTTTTTTTTTTTTTTTTTCTCTTTTTGAGTCTCCCTGTAGCCCCAGCTGATCTGAGACTCACTATGTAGACCAGTGTCCTTGAACTCATAGAGATCCACCTGCCTCTACCTCTCAAGTGCTGGGATTAAAGGTGTGCACTACCAACCTCTGCTTTACATTTCTCTTGAGCTACATAATTTGCCAAGTTCATTCCCTGCCCTTCACCTCTGAATCCTAACCTGGCTTTGAACCCACAAGAATCCTTCTGTTTCAGTTTTCTAAGTGTTGGAATTATAGGTGTGGGTGCTTTCTTTAATACAAATGCCTCATTTCAGCTTTGAGCCCTGAGGTGGGGTGGTGGCACTAGTGTCCTTAGGCTTAATGCTGGCCCAAGACCATGTGCCTCTCAGGTCTAGAAATTAAATCCCAGCATTCTAGAGACTGAGGCAGGAAGATTACAAATTTGAGGGCAGCCTGAGCTACATAGCAAGATACTGTGTTCCTGTTGTGATACAGTACCACAATGTTTTCAACGGTTTGGTTTGATTTTTAAATTTTTAAAAAATTTATTTTATTTATTTAATTAATTTTTTTAAGACAGGGCCCCTCTGTAGCCCTAAATGTCCTGGATATCCTATATAGACCAGGATGGCTTTGATCTCACAGAGATCCAGCTACCTCAACCTCCCAAACGTTGGGATTTAAGGCATGTGCCACCATGCCTGGCTAGTTTGTTGGGTTTTTTTAGGTCTTTTTGAGACAGGGTCTCCCTGTAGCCCCAGCTGTCCTGGAACTCACAGAGATCCACCTGCCTCTGCCTCCCGAGTGCTAGGACTAAAGGCATGCACACCACGCCCGGCAATTTCTCTCATTTTTAAAATGTATTTTGGCATATGTTCATTGTACATGGGGATGGGTTTCATAAGGACATTTCCATACACCATACACAAAGTATATGAGGTCCTTTGACCATACTAACCCTCCCAGTGTCCCCCACCCCCCTACTCCTGTTACTCCCATTCTTTCCCCATCAGATTTGCTTCTTTCATATCCTATATAGGACGTATATCTATACCTAAATGGTTTTATGTATCTGCATAAAGTCTAGGATTCATAAATGAGAAAAGAGTGGGATATTTGTCTTTCTGAGACTGATGTATTCCTCTAAATATGATCTCC